TCAAGCTTGTTGGATAGAAGACAACGAGTAGCATCAAAACAGCGAAGAACCAACATAACGTCCAACATCGAAAACATCATATAAGATGCATGTGAACTCCGTTTTCGATGAACTAGAGCTTGTCATGAAGATGACCAAGCTCTAAAACTCACAAAGAGAAACACCAAACAAGAACCAAGAAAGATGATGCAAGGATGCAATGGGTTGAGCTCTCTACGAATGATACGATCAATCTACTCATCGAGAGCCCCCCTTGATAGTACGGCAACTGATCCTATAACCCGGTCTCTCAACTTCCACCATGAGACCGGTAAAACATAAACCTATCAAGGGCAAACCTTTGCCTTGCGCATAATCCACTTGAGTTAGATGATGACGATCTTGTCCTCCTCAAGATGGACCACCTTTCTTGATTGCGTTGGGTCGATGAAGACCAGTTGATTTCTCCCCCATAAACCACTATGGGTGAGCCACTCTTCTGCACATCTTCACAAGTCCATTGTCACCATAATGGACGGCAAGCTTCAAGAACTTGATCTCTTCGTGATGCTCCACTTGCACACGGCAATCTTGATGACGATCGCCACTTGATGTAATCCTCTCCATGGGTTGTATGATATCTTCCTCTTGACTCAATCCCATGGACACATACCTAACCCCACATAGAACTCTCACATAGACCATGGGTTAGTACACAAAGCGCAATGGACCATGCTTACCATACCATGGGATCCCTTGATCCCTCTTGGTAAATCTTCTACGCTTTGTGAGTTGATCAACTTGATTCACTCTTGACTTAGTCTTGATCAACCTTGAATCTTTCCAACTCTCTTCATTTGGATGATGTCTTGAAAGTAAACACGAATAATCACACAATCTTCTTCTTCAAGACATGCTTGCAATAAGTTCAACACTCACATGACCAATTTTTCGATAATTCCTTAATAGCACCTTGGTCAACTCATAAACTCCTTGAAACCAACACATGGACTTCAAGAAATGTCTATGGACAAATCCTTCAAATATAACTCAATGCAGCCATTAGTCCACAGAGAATGTCATCAATTACCAAAACCACACGTGGGGGCACCGCATGTCCTTTCATTAGTTAACTTAATGGTCAAAATTAGCCTCAAAATACCTACGGGACTTTGTAAATTCAAACGAAGGTAGAAACTAACTCAGGAGGAGAAACTAGAAGAAAGCTTTGCATGCTGCCATCGAATAATTAACCGCGGGAATCACTTGGTGAGCATGGACATGACAAAATACCTAGGAGACTTAGGCCCTGTTTGTTTGGACTTATGCTTCACCTTTTTCACTTTGGATAAAAAAAACTTGTATTTAGAGTCTTTCGGTTTTGGCTTTTGGGTTATACCCTCATATAACAACTAGCGTAGTGGACCGCGCATTTGCGCGGCTAGATTTGTAATCATCAATCTCTCACATTTAACATAGACCTGCTAAAGGACTCATAATATTTTACTTGAATAATCTAGAGATCGTTGGATATCTTCATCTTCACGAGCTGGTGGTAAATGTTCGTTGCCATGATCTCATATGGAAATCTGAATTGATACTAACCTTGAGACATGGTTGAGAATGCGGAGCACCTAGTATTACACAAATACCCCAATCTATCATTAATTTGTGGCACATTTGATAGAAGCTCAATTGATAAACAATCACTCACTCCGTTCGGGTTTATAAGGTCTAATAGTATTCTGAGATTTGACCACCAATAAGCTTGATATATATGACATATATGTTATAAAAGTTACATCCATGAAATCTTCTTTCAAATACAAATTCAATGATATACTTTTTTGTGAGACCTGAATATCATATATTATTGGTGTAACTGATGGTCAAAGAAAATCTCAACATTATGGTAACAAAAAATTTCTCCTTTAACTACAATGTGTTGGTAGGAACCATCAATGAAGACAAATAACACTGTGGTCTTCAGCTCGTAATATAACCCATGTACTGATCTTGGGATTTTAGTTCCTTATACACTCCTTTCCTTTTGGGTCGATCTTTGTTCCAGAAAGTTTCAAAATATTTTTTGTGAGGACTAAATGTTAAAAATGAGAGCTTATACCATGATACTCTTTATATAATTTAACATGATTGTCGTTACAACTTATGTACGAAAATATATTCTCCTAGTTAATGTCATGATAGCATTTCCTTGTAATTGTGTTCATCTGTTTTCTCTTATTTCACATGCCCATTTATGAACATGTATTTAAAAAGAGAGTATCACAGAATAAACGATACCTATCAATTTGTTTAGAGAAATATATAGTATTTTAGTACTGCAACTTAATTTGCACATACAAATGAATCAATTGACACTCTTACCCCTGCGTTGCATTACTGGTGTATAGAATTGCAACAAAAAATCACCATGATTAATACTAATTAATTAAGTAAAAAAGTTGCAAGTCAACTGAGTGTGGCTGCCACGTTGAGTCACTACCAACACTTTGGTAGTCAAAAATCAAGTTGGTCTACAAAAGAACACAACACTACATTATCTATTGCTCCCTCCGTTCGTAAATATAAGTTTTTGAAGAGATTCTACTATGGACTACATGTATGTGGTCCATAGTGAAATCACTACAAAGACTTATATTTAGGAACGGAGGGAGTATATGTGAGCTTTTAGATTTAAATGGAGTAACACCCATAGAAAAGAAAATGATACTTATAAAATTTCTTTTTTTAAAATATTTTCATATAAACATGTACACTGAAGGAACAATTCAGACATTTCACTCATGGCAATCCAGTATATTAACATAACATTCGAGCAAGGTGTGCAACCAAGTCAGGTGCTCCAACCAAGAGTTCTAAAGAAGATTTAGGACATGTGGAATCACATTATTTCTTGAGCCTATAGAGAAATCATGTTAGCCTCAGAACTATACCAAGATACCATAGACGTACACCATGAAATATTGTTTTTACTCCTAATGGTGGAGTCTTTAAGGGAGAGAAACCTACATTTATATAAATATAATATATGCATATGTTGATGGTGGAAAAAGTGCAATATAATGTACTCCCTCTGTAAACTAATATAAGAGCGTTTAGATCGCTACTTTAGTAATCTAAACACTGTTATATTAGTTTACACAGGGAGTACTATTTTGGGAATCACATATTCATACCTAGGCAGAGAAATACTGGAGTACATGGCACTTGCATGGTTGAAAAATCATGTAGCAATGACGCATATATGCTAGCACAGCTGTCCATAACATGGCAATGAGCCAGGGACGTTCTGATGCCCCTTGGCCAGCCTTGTTTTACCATGGTGGTACCGAAGGTTCACTATAGAATATTGATTTACATCCAAATTCATCAAGTCAGTTATGTATTATGTTTACTCTGTAGCTTTCTTTCCTAAAAAATCTGCAAGACATCCACAAACTTCTAGGCTTATTTATTCTCTGAAAATCAAAAAACATACATACATCTGCTTCTAACAATATGAATTTAAGATCAATTAAAAATAAATTTAGACTTAAATGAGCAAATTTGAAATCGACATTGCTGATTGCTAACGGCACAAACTCGTGCATGACCATGGGTAACATCCAAATTCCTCAAAACTTTTATGTATTAATAATGTGTATTCTGTAGGATTCTTTCCTATGAAATCTGCAATAAATCCACACAATTCTTACGCTTCTTTGTTCTCAGAGAATCTGAAAACATACACACATCGGTTTCTACAATAAAAATTTAAGATCCATTAAAAAATAAATTCAAACTCACATGAGAAAATTTGGAATCTCCACTGCTGAGTGCCAACCAAAGTTTTAGATAGCACGCTATAGCGGCGCTACACGCATCCTGACTGTGGTGTGCTACGCGAAGCTCGATTTCATGTACGAAGAGTTAGCGTGCTAATAGCGCGCTAGATATCACTTAGCGCTAAAATTGGGCCTCTAGCGTTAGCGTCCCGCGTCTCCGACCTAAAATTTTCGGTCCAAAATGAAATCGCTACGCGGGCCAAAGCCCAGGCCTACCAATAGTCGAATACCCCCAACCCTCCTCTCGAGCCAAACCCTATCCCCACTCCCGTCCTCATCTCAAACAGGAACCATGGCGACGGCCTCGAGCTGCCACTCCAGCGACTGACCTTCCTCGCCACTCCCTCCCAGCGACGGGGTATTCCACCAGGCTACGCAGCTCCCGGACGTTTCCTCTCGGCTGCTCCCTCCTAGCCACTTCCGCTGCTGACGGCGACAACCGCATCCACAAGGCGACAGAGCACCCCGCGGCGACGGTGTCCACCAGGCGACCATGAGCCAACAAATCCCGTCAACTGGTAAGCTCATCTATCCTCTGTTATCTCTTCTTGTGGATGCTTGTACTGCTATAGGAAAATGGTGAATAGCTGAATGTTCAAGATTCGCAATAAAAATGAATCTGCTGAAGTTTTCAGTTATATACAGAATACAGATACATTGAAAGTTTATTTGCTACTGATGTACATTTTTCTATCACGTACTTTGGATTGCCTTAATCTGCCTGAACAATAACTAATTTTATTTTGTTCGCTTCTTTTTGCATAGGTGTTGGTGGCTCAAGCACTGCCTCAGTAGCAGCACTTGCACCCCCTCAAGTTGTTGATTCGGATGACCCTGCGTGGAAGTATTGCACTCTTCCAGATGTGAACAAGAAGCATTGGCAGCGATGCAACTATTGTGGCAAGATATGCACAGCTGGCATTACAAGGATAAAGTTTCACCTTTCACAAATAACGAATTGTGGTGTCTTACCATGCAAGAAGGTTCCTAGTGATGTCAGGTTGGAGATGATAGCTTTGCTCCTAAAGAGTGCTGAGCTGAAGGAAAAAAAGATTCACAAGTACAAAATATAGTTCCTTGCACTTCTCACATTGAGGCCATGTGTTCCATACTTCATTTTGTTCACTTACACAGGTTCATACAAAGAAACGCAGCAGGCTACTCCATGATAGGATGAGTGATCTTGTATTTATCAAGTTCAACTCTAGGATGAAGCATAAGAGAGAGAACAAGAGTAGAGACCCAATAGAGAAGACAATCGTTGATGTTCTTGAGGACGAGGATAACGAGTTCATCACTGGAAATGATAATGTTGTTGAACATGTTGGTGATGAAGATCAAACTCAACAAGAGAGAGCTTCAACATCACAAGAACAAGGGAAAAAGAAGAAGAGGCCTACTGCGCCCCCTAGAAAGAAGAGGAAGAAAAGCTTGCAATCTCTCCTTAATAGTGTCGATGAGGAAGCTATACTTTCTGCCACTTCCAATTCTTCTACGTCGGAATCAGAAGATGAGTCTCCCTCGGCCCTTGCTGACTCAGATTAATTGCATGGTTTGGTGTACCACTTTTGTTGTTTCAAAGTGTGCTGGTGGTATGTTGTTATGTTGCTATGTCAAACTTTGCTCTGTTATGTAATGAATTGAACCATCTCCTGATATATGTCCTTATTATGTATTGTACTATATGGGGCTGTTATTTGCATTATGACTATGAGTTTAGGACTTCCTGCTATAGTTTATGAACTGCACTATGTTATGTGGCTGTTTGCATGAGTATGGTAGGAACTACATAATACAGTATCATTTTTCTATTAACTTGGCTGTATGGTAGTTGATATATGTCCATTTTCAAGTATATATATGTCAAGTTGATGACGTAAACTACTCCTCAAGGGGGTGCAGTAGAGGGGGGGTGAAATTTGCAAATTTTGGGGATGAAATTTGCAAATTTTTGGGATGGCGTAAACTACTCCTCAAGGCTTCTACCCAAGTTTGTACCAGCATATCCTATTGTTGATCCTGCTGATCATAATCTGGTAAACTTTTTCTTTCCAACTAGCCAACGTTGTGATGGCTATGTAATTTGCGTCGATTTGCCCTCTATGGAGATCAATTACATTGGCAAAGTACACTAGAGCTTACTTGACGGGGTAGGCCTAGAAATATTTGAGTTTTCAGGTGTTTGCAATGCATATTAATAACTTCCTTCTCACCCACATGCTTTACTTGATTAGACTAGTAAGTGTGCACGTGCAACGGGCACGAATGAGCGTAAAAGTAAACTTCCTTTTACATCTCAGTCATGAAACAATTATTTAAATAAACATAGTTGTTAACTGGATCATACCTAGACGCATCTTCTTACCTCATCTTTTTAGTTAGATTTTGCAATGTTGCGAAGGATATAACGAAATATGAACGAATATGCATGGGAAGTGCATGGATGAACCCGACATATGAACCTAGTTTGAAAAACACATTTTGAAATGTCAAAATATTCAGAAAAAGGTGTGTCTGGTCATCTCCATATTAAATGTGTGTGCAGAAAGTTTAATGGGAAGACAATTTTTTGTGGCCTGTGCAGAAAATACAAAACATTATGTCACGAAACGCTATTTAGAAGCACTAAAATTTGTCTTTTTTGCTAGGACAAAATAAAAGACTTTTTTTATAAAACTTTGTCCCATGGACATATTTTTGCGAACATGTATGCACACAATTTTGTTTTAAATTTTTTGACATTACAAAATGTGTTTAAAGTACATTTTTGAAAAGCGGGTTCATATTCACTTGTGTTCAAGATGTGCTGATTCGAATGTGCACAAGCTATACAATGGTAAAATAATATATAGTGATGTCAAAAGTTGGTTATAAAACCTGTCAAAAGTTGGTGATGTCAAAAACTATCAAAAGATGATCTTCATCAGGTGTTGGACTTATAAAAATACAGTGACGTCAAAATTTGGAATGTCATAAACACTCGTATCTCGAAATGAAACCTCCATGATCGATCCTTATATACAAGAAAAATAGAAATATATTTTACAATGTTACTGCAAGAGAAAATCAAGCATTTCCATGCATTGGCCAGGTTGAGACAAAGCACCTTCAGGCAAGGGTAGTTGTCACTTCTCCACTTTCTCTATACAGCAAGGTGTTTTTCCACATAAACAAAATATATATTTTGGTAGGGAAAAACTTCTTTTGCAACATTGAGTTCTAACATGCAACCATCAAGGAAAGCAAATCGACATGGGAGATGAACCCATGACATGGTTGTTCATAAGTAGGTGACTTGTACTATGGTGTCATTGTGGAGGTACCAGTTCAGTGAGCAGGGCCGTACCTGAGAAAAGGGAGGCCCGGTGCGAAATCAAATTATGGGCCCTTGGCATTTCTTCCTTTTCTTAACTTTTCCATGTCATGACTCATAGTTCCTTTTTTTGACATCATGACTCGTAGTTCCTAATTCTTCTGAAGAAACTGAAGAAGGTAAAACTAAGAGACAAACATCCAATGTTAAAAATTGGACATATACAGATAAAGAGGATTGAAGCTACCTTAGCCTTCAATTGCAGTCAGGCTCCAATTGATGCTGATGCACATAAGTTGCAGCGCTGGCAACAGGCAGCTAAGTGGTCGAGAGAAACACTGATATGCAACCCTACCGATTTGAGATCTGAGAAGAATAGAACACAAATAAAAAAATGGGGATTGAGAGTGGAACTTTACCTATTCAATGTTCATCGCAATGGGTTATTTGTGGAAATAGCACATAATTAGCAGATGGGGATTGGGAGTGGAACGTTACCTATTGGAAGTTCATCGCAATGGATTATCTTGTGGTAAATGCGAAAAAAAGAAGATGGGGGATTCAGAGTGGAACCTTAGCAAGGAAATAGTGTTGATGAGGATTTAGGAATTAAGAGTAAACTAAGGATCAAGGAGTGAAGATTGATGAGGAGTAAGAAGCCGAAGAGTAGATAGAGAACCATGCGTGAGAACCTCATTTTTTTATGGAAAAAGGAGCCATGCGTTGAGGAGAGGTTGGATAATTTCTTCATGCAGGTTCCCATGTAGTAGTATTGGCTGAGTTAATTAAGCGCCAGGTTCCCATGCGTGAGGAGAGGCTAGTACGTTCCTGCCTTGATTATTTCAACCATCCATGGTAATAAGTGTACCTACCTCCTACTAACCCCAGCAATCAACTAATACTCTCGCTGATTTGGGGGCCCCGCTGACTTTGGGGCCCTGTGCAGGCGCACACACTGCACATGCGCCTGGTACGGGCCTGTCAGTGAGAGATAGTGCAGATGCATAACATGGATGTACATCACGCTATAAGATGAAAACTTCCTAAGATTCCCATATAAAAATGAAAATGTGGAAAACATAGAGCATTTTCATTTCATAACAGGAACCTAGCTGTTTTCCTGCTTGGTGTCGAAACTAAACATTTTCATTTTGTCAAATATATTGTTCTGTTATTCACTCATGGGGCCCTGGTGTATGATAATTTATTTATTTATTGTAGCTGGATTAACTTCAGTTCAACAGATACGGTACTCAAACCTCATATTCCACGGCATGACTTTAAATTACAGAAAACAAAGGATTCTAGTGGACAACAACTCTGTTAATATGGAAGAACAAATACAAGTAAATGAGAACATATCGTATCTTGTTATTATGCAGTAATGACAATACCTATCAACAATTCAGAGCACTGCCTGTTTTCAAATATGTTCATACAATCATACGGGAAGTGGTGAGAAGGAAAATGCCATATCTTGCAACAGAAAAGAAGACTGGAAATTAGGTGAAAAATAAGAAAACAAGTTGCATGCAATCAAAACATCGCATTTTCTATATCATCTCATTTCACACCCGATGCTAACTTCTCCTTCCATCTCTGCGTCAATGTGAATACGTTGGAGAGCATGACATAGTTGGCCTCATGAGCAGGGTACTCTATAGACCTCAGTTTTGGCTGCCCAAATATAATCTGAACTTTTATTTTATTAGTCAAAGTTGAAAATATGTACATGGGCAGTGAAAAACTTTACAAAGTATGGCCTTCAAATAAAAATGCAGATAATACAAATACAATATACCTTTAGCAATACTCTACTCTATAGTTGTGCAATTGAAACCTGACGTTTGTACCTAAAACGCATTTCACCATTGACTTCTCGACGGCACTGCTCCGCAGTCAGGAGTCATTTGATTGCGTCGAGGCTGACTTCGTTCCTCAGCACCGCGCTCATGGCGTAGCAACAACTATAAAATACAGTAGTGAAGTAGCAGCAGTCGGATGTGCACCTCGTGCTCGTGTGCTTGCCGCTGAGCTGGCCTGCGCACGACACACATGACACATGCTGTCGCCAAGCTTGCCGCCCATGCGCGCTGGCCACCGCCCGCACACCGCCACCACTCGTCGGGCAGCCGCTGCTCCGCAAGGCACCCCGGCCATGCTGGCCGCGCGTGTCGCCACGACACGCTGGTTCGCGCGCTGGCCACCGTCGCCGGCACCGATGTCCGCCGCAGTTCTCTGGTTGAGTGCGCTATCAGTTACCGCTGCCATTCCCCTGCGCTGCGCAGGTGATGCGTCGAGCTGGGCCTCCTGGCCACACATATACGCGTTCCCGCCATCGCCCCAGCGTCCCACCCGCTGCCCGTCGCATCGCGCAAGGCACGCCCAGGACCCGCTGCCTTCATGGCCATGCCATGCCTGCAGTCCGCAGAGCCCGAGTTCCACCGTGAACCGCCTCGACCACCCTCATAACAGGTCCGCCTCCCCCGCGATGCCACACGTGCCGCCCGGCCCCGCTGGACGGAGCACGCCGCCGTCGCCTGCCATCGTCAACAACCATTAGTCATCCGCCGTCGCCGCTGGGACGTTTTGGAATAACGCTAACACCGCCGTCGCTGCTTGACAAGGGCCACGCCCCCGCGGGCCGAGCGCCGCGCGCTCCGGTTCATCACCAACAGCGTGGCTCCACTCCCGCCCCCCGACGGCCTTCCCGAAGAAATCCATCTCAGCGGCGGTCGAGAATGAAGACTCCTCATCCTTTGGGTTGTTTAGTTGCTTGATGGCCGCTAATTTCTTTTTCTGTTGTTGTCTTGCGTGTGTGATTGTAGGGGTCGAGGACTCGGGCGTGCAGTTTGTTAGGCGGTAGATTGAGTGGAGAGGTGGGCGCTAATCACGGAAGAGAGGTTGCGGACGCGGGGTGGAGTACGGCCAGTCAAGATAAATTGCTAAGTGCACACAGAAAATGGATTAGATCAAGGCTAGCAGTTGGACTGAGTTTAATAGGTCTAATCCTGCGGTGGTAATGGGTTCATGTATATTTATGAGGTGTGTTTAAAGAAGCTTATGTTTGATTGTTTATAGTAGAGAAATACTTGAGTTTTCAACTGCTAGACTTCCTTAGCCACTCCAATTGAAATTGGTTCATGTATACAATTATTTAATACTCCCTCCGTTCTTAAATATAAGTTTTTCTTAGACATTTCAAATGAATTACAACATACGGATGTATGTAGACATAATTTAGAGTATAGATTCATTCATTTCGCTCTGTATGCAGTCACTTGTTGGAATGTTTAAAAAGACTTATATTTTGGAACGGAGGGAGTACTTCCTCCGTTCCGTAATATATGATTGTTTTGCAAGCTGTTTTAGCTTGCAAAAATGTCTTATATTATGAGACGGACGGAGTAATATTTTTTCACCTTGTTGTTGCATCTATGTTTTCCAGTGACATGGCTGCAGGTTGGAATGCATAGTTAAGTAGTTTTCCTACTACCATGGATGGCAGACTGTTAACATAATTAACTCTTAGTTGCAATCTGTTCATGGCTTGCAATTTCATTTAAATACTTAATCACACATATCTGTGCTAGACGCAAGCAGTAATACTTGATTCCCTTGCGGACTAAAAAGGAACTCATGTGTGCCAAGGACGTCAAAGGTGATGTCGTCACACATACTCTCTCCGTTCGGAATTACTTGTCTCAGAAATGGATGTATCTAGAATTAAAATACATCTAGATACATCCATTTTCACGACAAGTAATTCTGAACGGAGGAAGTACATACGTGTATCTGTTTCTAATTTTATTTAAAACAAGTAATTGCAACACTCGGCAAAGCATTTGCCGAGTTCATATGGCCTTTTGCCGAGTATTCTGGGTACTCAGGAAAGCCAGAGATTTCAGTGTACATAGGTAGAAATTTGTTGGATTTTACGTGGTGGATGTACGAGTCACAGCTTGTCACACTGCGCCGGCACCAAGAGCAACTTACCTGCCGCCAAATCGTAGACGATGTGCGTGTTCTGCTGCTGGAAGTTGCCTATGAGCGTCATATCCCTCTGGCCCGACGTACTTACCACCACGCACACCTGGCCGGACTCATGGTCCTCCGTCACGTAGTTCTCCCGCGGCAGGTCCCAGTCCGCACCCTCCAGATGGAAGATGAGCTTCGGCATGGGCGCCGTCTTCTTGGCATCCCAGGAGAAGCATATGTCGTCCTCGTCCGCGGTCTTATTGACTGGCAGTGCCACCTGCGCGATGAATGCGCTCTTCAGCTGCCTGAACACGGCATCCGGAAATGTGGTGAGGTCCGTGCCGCTGTCGATGATCGTCCCGCCGGAGCCATCGGCCTTGATCGCGAATGCCGACTCGGGAACCGGCAGCCGCGTCTCGCCGACCGTGACCCCTTTGAAACTGAGGAAGTAGTAGGAGGAGCTGTCGGTGTTCGGAGAAGGGTTCCGTACGAACGAAGTGGAGAGGGTCGGCCCTGTGGCATGCGCCTTGAGGTCGCCCGCGGCGCCGAGGAACACGGGGCTGCTCTTGGCCTCGAACCTGTCGGTGAAGCAGTAGGAGAACTGCCGGACCTTGAGCTGCGAAGGCAGCGACAGTGGCCCGCGGCCGAACCCCGCGATGCCAGTCTCAGTTCGTAAAAATTTGCCGACATTGTACATGCCACAGCCAAAGCCAATATCCGGCATGGTGACCGCGCCGCCTTTGCCGTCGTCAAAGGTGAAAGAGTCCCGGAGGAAGTGGCCAAATGACCTTGATTCGTCTCCATAACCGGAGACGTAGGTGCACCCGTGGAGGAAGCAGCCGTGTTCCGAATGGGCTTTGCAAAGAGGGTCGGAGCACGCGACGCTGCGGACGGTGTTGGAGGCGGCGGTGTCGAACCTGGGCAAAGGCTGGGTGAAGCACTCGGCGCAGGGCTCGCACTGCGTCCAGACGACGTCGCTGCCGGTGTCCAGCGTCAGTGTCACAGGCTGCGAGCGTGGCGCGCCGATGCTCAAGTGGATTAGGTACTCGGAGTTTACGTCCGTGTTGACGCGTCCCACCGGTGCGGTCGCCGGGTGGGCGTTCGTTCGGGAATATGGGCAAAGATTGACAGCACGGGCCCTCGACCGAACGACCATCCGGTGGAGCAGCTCGCGTTTTGTGAACCCGCGACCACTGTCGATGTGGGAGAGATGGGCGCGCAGGGCTGCCGAGGTGGCCGGCCAGGAGAACAAGAAGGTAAGGAAGACAAGGTAGGTTAACATGGACAAGCATGCCTTCATGTTCATGGTGCTGCAGTTTTTGTTCACAATTGTGTTCGAGTTGGAACATATATGCAGCCGTGGGTTTATATAGACCATCGTGCGCCACCCTATAATCAAAGCGTGACATCAACACATCAACACCTCCATTGCTGCGAATCAACTTGTGGTCGAATGGTTAAGAGGACAGTGGTATTCTCAGCTCACCAGGGTTCAAATCCTAATGATGAGGAGACGTTTTCGTCGACTTTTTTTTTTAGTTTCAAGATGATATGTTAGCTTAGTCTCTCGGAGGTGCTCATGAGGGTAGGGTCTGTGTGTGTATGAGTGCCTATGTCTGTAATGTGTTAAAAAAACAGCTCAAGTGCTCCACTCGCGTCGCGGCTTGCTCCTTTCTTTTTGCTGTGAAAAGTCCAGAGCATTGTGGAAAAGCAGCTCCATAGAGGGAGCATCATGAGAGGGACGACGGCGTCCTCACCATATTATTCACTTTTGGCCCTTAGGACTGTGACATCCATATTCCCCCACCCACCTTCAGATGCTCATCCACCATGGACCGGCAGACAATAAGCTTTGTGAGTGGCTAGCTCCTATAGATAATGCCCTTGCCATTTACTCCACAAACAAACATATCCACAACAATGAATAGTGGTTGATGAGGCGATACTCCGGCACTAGTACTCTAGAGGACTCCCTACATGCACGAATAAGTGTACATCTAGCTTTTATTATGAGTCAAAAAATTAAATTTTGACCAACTACATAGAAAAGAGTAGTAACATATATGACACAAAATTGGTATATTATGAAAGTACATTTTAAAATGGATCTACTGATACTAATTTAGCGCCACAAATGCTGCTAATTTTTCCTCAAAAGTTGATCAAAGTTTTAAGACTTTGACTTAAGACAAAATCTAGATGTACACGTATTCGTGGACAGAGGGAGTAGTGGACAAAGAAAGACAGGCTGGAAAAGAACTAATATCACATTATTATATCTATCATCTATCATAATAGTGTGTGACGCGTGCCTTGCCGTGCCCTTTTTCAGTCTTGACTTAACTCTCTCACCCACCTTATGCAAGCATATATTTTTAGAAATTTTTTTATCAGTGAAACTTTACAATGACAAAAATATAATGGGATAAGAGTTTATTAGGGTGTCATAAAAATATAAAGTTAGAACTACATTAAGAAAGCATACTTGTGTAGTTGTGTTTGACAACTGCTAATAGCACATGGAAGGAAAGGCTATACCGCTGCTGACTCATGCATGAAAGGGGAACCAAACAACCCACACTGTAGTTTTCCCTGGTTATACGATGGTATTACCATCAGCAGGCATGACCAAAGAATTATTGAAACTGCACTTCTAGTGTGTATATATAAAAGAGTTCTGCAACTCCACTTTGTCACACAGGCTAAAACAAAAACAAATCTGGTGTAGGAAAAATAAAGAACAGGAATAAAAATGAGTACTCACTTGGTAGTGCATTTTTGAAAAG